CAGCATAAAAGTTCTCTCTCCCCCTATTTTCCAGACAACAATAACCCTATGGAGTGGGCTGGGCTGAGAGCGCGCAACTGGCTCGGAGACAGCTTCTGCGCCTAAAGGAGGACTAGAACTTATCGTCTCTTGGTTTCTAGACCAGAATCTTAACCAAACTGGCTCTCAGTTTGCGTTGAATCTTTTAACGATCCATTTTTAAATTCATTAAAAAAAGGGGGGGGCTTTTCTTAATTCGAAAATGTGCAGACAATGCTAGCTTCCCTGCGGCAGGTAGGTCCAGAGACCTCCTAGCTCATCCTTGCTCTCACAACAAGCGACCCGATGCGTTTTCTTAGAGAAAGCGCCTCTGGAATTAAGGGGGGTTATTCCCATTCTGGCAGAGAACCGAAGCCTCTGCGCCTCGCGCATCCCCCGCCCTGGGGAGATGACGTCAGAGGAGGAGAACCGATCAGATGCTTTGGAATCCTGGAATCCCAGTCGGTCCGGTCTCCGCCAATCCCAGCAACCCACCCCGCTCCTCGTCGCCGCCGCCGCCGCCGCTGCTAGCATCTTTCCTCGCTGGGGTTACCTTTGCGATGCCCCTGAAGCCGCCGAAGCTCCTGCTCCGAGAATCCGGCCCAACCCCCTGCCATAGTGCCTCCTCCCAGCCCGCTCCGCCTTCCGCTGCCACGTCTCCAAAACCCGCCCCGCGGCTTGGGAAAACCCGGCCTTCCTTGAGGCCTCGCGCGGTTTGCTAAGCGTGTACGCGTGCAGCCATGGAAACGGAAGACACCCGTGCTGAGCTGCCTCCCTTCGCTTGGGTGAGGCGGCCTACCTTCGCTGCCTCTCTCCGAGGCGACGATTTCGGTCCGACTGCTGAGTCACCAAGCGCGAGAGCGCAGTCGGCGATGGGTAGCCGCTGTCTGGCGCGCGCCGCGGTATCTGAGCAACAGATTGCGTGGCGGGCGAGCGCAACCCTGTCGCCTCTGCGCTCATGTTGAGTGTGCTCGTTTATGGCTCTGAAGCAAGAGCGCAAGCTCCGACGTAAAGAGGACTCAGGGCCATGATTGCGCGGCCCTGTTTTCTCGATTCGCAGAACACACTGAATTGATCACACCAGCTGCTTTCATTCAGTGCCATTGCTATGAACGCGACCAGTTGTTTGTGGCTCAGCGTGTCAGGCGAACGTAATCCTTGTTCTGGAAGAAGAAACCTTCCAGGAAGTGGTCGCTTGTACTGTATAGAAGAACGATTTGAAACACAGAAACCATTTGGGAAGCTGAGGGACCGATGTGTGAAATGGTTGGGGGGGGAAAATTACATAGAAACCTGTTGTACGGAGCAGCAGCCACTGATGTGCAATAAAGAAAGGTAGTGGCTTTGACGGGTGCACTTCTTTATAAACTACTGGGTTGCAGTTGGAAACATTCTTGTAAATAAAGATATCATTAGAGACTGTCCTTTGCCAGCTTCCATCACCTTCATTATTATGCCTTAAAATAGGGTGAGTCAGAGTTTGGTTGGCATCAATGATAACACATCCAAGGGCACCGCCTTGTCTTATCTCAAGTTTAGTGTAATTTCTGAACTCAATGATTACAAAATAGGCCCAGTTATCACATTTGCTTTGAATACTGAATATTATATAGAATGTAGAATTCTGCCATAAGTGGAGGTCACCAGTAGTCACTGGTCTACCTTCATTCATTCATTCATTCTGCCCACCCACCCGCCTGCCTGCCTGCCTGCCTGCCTGCCTGTTGTCCATATGGTTATGTCCACACACAGAGTAGTTTGTGGGAAGTTTTCTCTGTATTCTGCTTTGTTTAGTACACATGGGGTAAACTTTCCCACTATTCCAGATGCTAACTTATTTCCAACTTTAGCATTCTTTTCTCATATAATTAGTATGATGTCTTTTTTAATGTTGTGTCCACAAGATGTTGCAAATCATTCAACTTCTGCTTCCTCTGCATTTGTAGTTGGAACATAGACTTGGATCACCATATTATTGAGTGACTTGACTTAGATTTGAATTGAAATCATTTTATAATTTTTGGATTTTGATACCCTTTTGGTAATAATTATTGCTTCTCCATTTCTTCTATGATTTTCTTGTCTGCAAGAGAAGATTCTCTTCTGATGTTTATGGCATGAAAGTCTTTGCAGCTCCTAACTTCCTTTTGCCTCTGGGCATATATCAGCTGGACTTCCTTTGTGTTTTAATCCAGACACATAAGCATTGGTGCTATTTCTACTTGCTTTCTGCTCTTCCCTAGTAGCTCATTAATTATCTTCTGATCTGGGGTGGTGATGGTGGTGGTTTATCTTTCAGTATCATGTTGACATTGTCCTGGTTGTAAATGGATTTGGATTTCTTGACAGACTTCTGGAGTAGGTTGACAATTCTAATGGACTGTGTGCAGTCTGATCTCTTGTCTGTGACCTGTCATGGATGATTCTTTTGGGAGTGTACACTCCCAGTGGTACATCTCTTAATGTCACTGGGATGTGGAAGCCCCTTCATCACTGCAAAGTAATGATCCGTGAAGGGGACATCAAAGTAGAGGTAATTTATTTCTAAAGTTGCAGTTCTTTGAACATTTACTGGAAGCAATGACCGCAGAGCATAGGAAGCTTTACTTTCAAGTAGATGCACATGATGAGGTTGCAAGGAAGCTAGCTAAATATATTGCAGGTCCATGCAACTATGACTTCTAGATTGCAGTGCAAAACTATAAATAGTTGAATGTTTAGCCTGCTTCTAAACTATATGTAATTACTCAGGAGTAAACCTGACTGAGATGGCTTCAATCCTGTGAACCCTCAAATTTCCCTTCCCCTCTCATTAACATGTACAAGATCAGGCTGTTTGTTATAATAATCCAGCATGCTACAGCATAACTAATACTGCTTATGCTGCAATGTGGATCTTAATCATATGCCATCATACCCTTCCCAGTTCCACAATTGTCAGATCTGTAAAGGATTAGCGGAGGCTCTAAAGTTCTGCCATTTCAGAGACCTTTGAGGAGTATTCATAACTGAATGACCATGTATAATCCCTGAGATTTATCTCTGAAACATTTTTAACAGCTTCTGCATGACTAACACATCCCATATGTACATTCACAGTACTTATCCTCAACCAGAGAAAGAAGGCTCTGGCAGTCACACTCAATATCCTAATTACATGGTGGATATATGTTTACTTGGAAATAAGGCCAATTGATTGCTTAGAATTGTAGGTTTTCAGCCCATGCAATGTGTGTCTACTTAGAAAAACAGCCTGTTTATGCTCAGTGGGGTTTTACTGTCGGATGAACACAGTCTCAAAATGATTTGATTGTTCCTGTTTCTAATTATTTATCTGACTGCAAATTATATTGATAGTTGATCAAGTGATACCGATCCTGTCCTAAAATAACAGTATAAAGAAGTTAAATTTATGGTGCTAGGTTTATTGCTCAGTTTTCTATTACTCTTCTGGGATAGTGTATGATCTCTAGGAAGCTGGTACAGTTTAGTACGTGTGCCCTGAGAAGCTTCAACTGCAGATTTATTCAGTTACACTTGGTAAAGAAAATATGATGTACTTCACATATTATTGCATTCCAACTAGTCTGTTAATGGTGAGGGGAGTTGTTCAGCAACAATTCAAGAGCCTCTCGTTCCCTCCTCCACCCGTTTCTGTTATTGTTCAGCCATTTCTGACTGTTGTGACCTGATGGACAACAGTTTATCAGGATTGTCTGTCAGTAACTGTTTCTTTGAGTTCATGTGAGCTCATGCTCATGTCATCAGTGATAGTATCTTGGCATCTTGTCTTCTGTTGGCCTCTTTTTTGATTGCCTTTGGTTTTTCCTTGGATCAGGATTTTCTCCAATGACTCTTGCCTTCTCATTATGTGTCTAACTATTTAAGCTTTAGTTTCATTATTAGTGCTTCCAGTAAGTAGTCTGGTTTTACTTTATCTTATATAGAATTATTTGTTGTTCTGACAGTCCAAGGTGTTCTCAACATTTTTTTTCTAGCACCACAATTCAAAGACCTTGGTTTTCCTTTGTTCAGCCTTTCTAATGGTCCAACTTTTCATAGCCATATGTTAAAACTGGGAAAATCATGGCCTTGACAATATATACCTCTGTTGTCAGTGTGATACCTCTGCATGTTGTCTAGATCTATAAGAGTCTTTCTTCTAAGTAGCAGATGTTTCTTTATTTTAAGGCAGTAATCACCCTCCCTGTGAATTTGTGAACCTAGGAAGTTAAATACCTTACTACTACAATTTCTTCATCTATTTTCATTGGATTGGCATTGCCTGTTAGTATAATCTTAGTCGTTGGGTTTTTTGAATTCTGAGCAGCAGATTGACTTTTACATTCTCTTAATTTACCTTCAAAAGAAATTTGTTAAATCTTCCTACTTCTGGTAATCAAAGTGAAATCTGAGTTTGCTGCTTTTTCTTCCAATTGTTTAAAATTCCAATTTCTATTTCTTCTAGTTCAGCATTTCTTATGATACAGTATGTCCTGCATATGAGTTATATAAATAAGTATAGGTATATTCTTATATTCTTTCCCAGTTTAGTTGCTATCCATTTTATTTTAACTATTACTTCCTAGTCTTCATACAAATTGTTCAGCCTGGGACACCCATGTTTCTAATGTCCTGTGGTTTACACACTTGAAAGCTTTTGAATAATCAAGAAAGCAAAAATAGATGTCCTTTTGGAATTCCCTTACCTTTTCCATTATCCATCAGATGTTAACGGTGGGATCTCAGGAGCCTCTTTCTCTTCTAAATCCAACTTTCATGGAGTTCCTGTACATTTCAGGCAGAGGCTGTTCTGCTTGATAGCCTCATGTCAGGTGGGTCTACTGTAGTTCTATGCATTCTGTAGGTGTACAAGGCACAGTTGTTTTCCTTTCATCATTTAAAATTTATCACAAATGCTGTAGTGTATTGGATTATTATTGCTATTGATGATTAAGCATGATTGTAATTATGTACTGCTACTCAGTTACCTTAGCCAGACCATATCTGTTGTAATTCTTGCAGATTCAGTGGAGTTAGTTTTTCTAGAATTTTCAGTAAAACAGCAGAAATATCTATTGTGTAGAAAAATGATGATAAATTAGGACTGTGGAGAAAAAAAGCCACTCAAGCTGCAGTAAAAACAAACAAGCAAGCAAAAGAAGAATTTACCAGTTGCAGTGTGTAAAGACAAAGGGGAGCACAGCAGGAAAGCTTGCTTTATTGGGAAGATTGATGTGTTTGTGCCATTGATGACTGGGCATTTTATACAGAAATATAATTAAAAACTTATATTGGAGAAAAGATAATTCCCATGGGAGTGATACTTATAACTGTAAAATACAATTAACTTATAGGTTGTGAAAACAGGTATACTTATCCTCTGGGGTTGTGATTGGCTGAGGTTTGGAGTTCCATCAACAATCTGCATGCTACTCTTCTGTCCACAGAGATCATTGAAAGTATGCTGAAAAGAATATTGGATGATGCTATGCCTGTATTAAAAAAATATTATTAGCATATCAAGCACATCAAAGATAAATTAGTTTTCCAGGAAAATACAACACACTAAAGTTTCACAAAGCACATCCATTTGTCATATGCGAAAAGGTGCATACTGGATTGGACAGAAGC